TCATTTGATAAAAATCTTAGTATTATATGGTCAATTATATGGCATGTGTTTGAACAAGGTCTACTAAAGTAATAAAAGTCGGAATGCTATTGATAGATAAATGTTTGAATGAGGTGATACGTTTGTTCACCCTGCCCAAGCTGCATAAATACTCTTTTGATTTTTATAAAATATTTTAATATAATTTTACATTTGGTTTGTCTCTAAGTAGTGAACGCTATCAAGTGAAGACTAGATAAAACTGTGTTAGATGTGATAATACCCATTTGTTGTCATCAAAGTAGAAATCGCTCCACACATCATGTAATGTGTTGAGCAGAGACACATGGTCGATTGGTTTAAGTAATGTCTGAACTGAGACCTTGGATCTATACGCAAAGAGAAATGAAACAGTTTACGCAGGTTTTTGTAGATTGACCTTTTTGAGTCAGAGGATATATCAGTATTATTGCATTTTACAGTATAGTGTCAGAAAATAAATCTTTTTTATGCAGATTTACTTGTCTCTCAACTCTTTATCTTCAAATGTATGAACTTATTTCCTGCCATGTTAAAAACTCATATTTATCAAGCATTTATCAATTATTTATTATATCAATAATATTTTAATTATTGGAAAACACAAATAAATGTGGATGTATTAATAATGAGAATGTACATTTGAACCAAATAAGTGCTCAAGGCGTTACATCCATCAGTATATCAAAATTTACCTTTGAGTGGGATGGCGGCTGGGTTGGGTTTTAAGAAAAAAGATCAAAAACATACTTATTGTATCATTTGCATGGTAATATTAATATTGCTGGAGGGGTTTCAGTATTTCCCTGATCAACTCAATATTTAGTGTATTGCTAGTTGGAGTGAATAGCGTACCGTGGAAACCTAATATCGTTTGTCATGTTTACTTTTGATGCTGTATTTGTAGGCAGGGTGATCTGCATGACAAAGGATTGCTTGCAGGCAGTGTACCAATTATAACGTTTGCTTATTTTATTTGCTAATATACTGCATATTACTACGTGGCATCATTGCCCCAAATTGCATAGATCACTCTTCTATATTATTGCATACTCTGTTTATGATATGTTATAGGAGATGATATTTTATGTCACTCTTTATTTGGTTGATTTATTATGGTTAATATTTACTAAATTATAATATCACTATAAATTACAGTATCACTGGTCAAGCAGATTGTTTATAGTCAACTTCTGATATCAAATCTAATATCTTTATTGTTTCATCAATCCACCATACACTGATAATGATAATTTTGAATAAAAAAACATTTTTATAATTACAATATCTTATGCTTTGCGACAGGGGTGGGCATAAAAATTGGCCGGAGGGCCAAAGTGAACTTTTGATTTAACACCGACGGCCGCACCCAAACTTTGAGTTCCAGTGAGCTTCTAAAAACCTCCAATCACTGCTTTTACATAAACTTTATTCTCAGTTTTAATGTTACTTTATACATATTGGTGTTGGGCCATAAAAAACAAGGTGTTTTCTAGCCAATTTTGATTGGCGGGCCACAAACATAGGGCTTTTAATTCATTGTCGCGTTCCGCACAAAAATCGCTGACGGGCCACACTTTGCCCACCTATGCTTTACGAACATGCGATACAAGTGCTGGCTTACCTTTCCCAATTTATTTATTGGTCAATCCTTTCTATATTCCTTCATCTAATTGCTCTCCCCTCCTACTTTATATACTAAGATTCGCTAAACTAGGTGTAAGAAAATAGAAGCTAATAATTACTAAATTGTATAGCTTGGTGGTTCCAATCTCAGAGCCTATTGTTTAAATCCTGGTACCATTTTAACTTTTAAGTAGCTTAGCTTATTCTTCTAAACTGGTGGTAGCCACTATGTATTCACTCAACTGTGGAGATGTCTTGTCCGCAATCACATCTTCCCTGGGGAATTAACTGTCCCCTTTTAGATCTACTAATTTCAAGACGCATTTTTAGATCAAAATTCGTAGGTTAACCTGCACTTTTTGTTTTGATTATAATATATATTTATTACAATATTTTGGAATAGTAAAGTAATATATTATAATAGTGTCCTCCAAGGATAACCAATTTATGTGAAACACAGTCGAGGGATCTACTGTATAATGCATTAGATAATAATGAAAACCACAGAAATTTGCAAATGATTCAAAATTGTCTATAAATGAGATAGATTGTGATTGATGTATAAACTGATTTAAATTCATCAAAGAACATTGAACTTTTCCATATTCTCAATGGAAAATAAAGTTAAAATACAGATAACAAAAGAATATGAAATAGGCAATGTAATAGTTCTTTTATCTGTCCCAAAACATTAAATTTCACAAAAACAGACTTGAATAACCTAAGAATGAAATAAATAATCATGTATGGCCCTTCCACAGTGAAATAGATGAAAACTTTTGAGAAATTGCAGATAAAACATGTAGTATGTAAACTTTTATGGTATACACTACATGCATATAACTATTTAGCATAAAATGCCCATTTATTAAAATAAATATTCAGATATTTGGTATGAATTTAAAACTATTTTTCTATAAAGTTAAAGGGAGTCGCATATTCATTATTGAACGTAGGGGAATGAGCTCTTAGCCCATCGTACTAAGCCTCGGTATTTTGTGGTAGGGTGACCACTTCCTTCTCCACTCTGCCTTTTTCTCCCAAGTAATGAACCCACTTTCTCTCTCTCTACCCACTCCTGGGTAGAGAGAGAGACAAACGTAGATAAAGTGCCTTGCCCAAGGACACAAGCGACTTGCACAGCTAGAGTTCCAAACCCCTGACCTCTAGATTGTGAGTCCAAACCATAACTAATATGCCAACTGCTTCTACACTTCTATACAGAACACAAATAAGATGTTAAATTTTGCAAGGGACAATGTGTTGCTGAAAATTTTAAATTCGGAATCTAATTATAATTACTTAAAAATGTAAACTTGTTCGTTAATCTCAATTATTGCACAGGTTTGTCTCCCGTGAGTTGCGAAAGTCCCCAAAAATCCCTTGAAAACTAACATGTCTTTAGCAAGTTCATGATGTTTGTTGTTTTTATTAACTGTATTTATTATTTGACTCCCTTAATGGGAATCACATTGTGTAGCAAAATATAATGTGTTAAGAAAGTTCCTGGAAGTGGTTTTTGTCAACTTTGACCCCTGACTAGTAATGTTTAGGTTGCAATATGGAGCTATTCATCACAACAGAAAATGCAAGGTAAACAGGCTGGTAAATATTAATAAAAATGATATTTTATAACTTAAAACAGACGCAAAAATGGATATTTGTAACATATCTGCCATAATAGATCATTATTATTTTCATTTTGCATGGAAAAATAATAATTTTATTTTAAATAGCAAATAGTAAATTTTTTCATGAGGTTCCAAAATTTGATGAGGGCAGTGATGTGAAACTAGGAATTAATTTTATTTGGCCTTAGAAAAGCTTTTTCTACACTCTATTTCTGTGTTCCATTTTACCAAATACCATAGTACCGTAACATCTCCCAATTACATACCCCTCTGTCCGAACAGGGTTCGTAAATGAGAAAATTTGTAATTCAGAGAGTTCAAATTTTCAGCATCTCAGTGTGGTGAGGGTAGGCCTAGGCCTGCGCTACAAAGTACAGGGCTACAAAATAATACTTTTACAGAAGCCAAAATTACCTGTGCTAACTGTGAAATATTCCTTTGAAGTGATTTCAGCATGAAAACATGACCAAATAATGGCCAATACAAATGTTAAATATTATTCTTTTCATAAAGATCGCGAATCTATGCCAATAGCGCCCCCAATGATCAAAAAGTGAGATTAACTGTACAGTATGCCTGAACAAGCATGCACAGCTTAAATGTGATATATTTTGGCTGAAAATGAAAATTTCTTGCTTGAAACTTAGTTTTATATCACTTTATAAGTTTGAATTTTTTCTCTCTTAGCTGATGTAACAATTTAAATTATTTCTGAAAACTTGAATACATTTTAAAGTGTTTTTGTAGTTCGTAATGATGCCATTGCCGCAAATTTGGTTCGTAAAATCTAGAGTTCGTAAATAAGAGGCTGGTAATTGGGAGGTGTTACTGTACATTGATTAAGATTGTACAATATCAAATTTCTAATAAAGAATAACAGTAATAATGCATAAAATATACCTCCAAATTTTTACAGCCTCAGTGCTCTAAAAACATAATTTAATTCAAATGTTGATACATATTTATAAGCATGCATCCTAAATTTACAGCTAATTTTTGTTTTTGTAGACAAGTGTAGACATGATTCTTAAGAGAATTTAACAATTCTCAAGAGAATCACTAAATTTCTCAAGGAATTAATTGGGTAATGTCCTAATTGCTAACTATTTATTTCAAAATTTGTTAAGAAAGATCCTTCTGTTTTATTGTACTTCCTAATTCCATGCATGGAGAAAGTGAAAAGCTTGCATTATTCAAGCCAAGATAGGTTAGGTCAGCCAACTGTGAAATGCTTTGCAAGTGTATTTTGACACTTTCAAGCCTTAAACTTGCATCCAGTATCACATGGGAATACATGTTGTGTTATAATAGCCAAGTAATTGGCCGAACGTCTCTAGTATTATTGAGCCAATCGCTACCGGTTTGTCTTATATTGGTATTAGGTGCGTGAAATTCCACGCAACTAATAGCTCTTTACACATACACGAGAAATTGCCAATATTTGTTCCATGGATTTATAGAATCAGAAAGCATAAATATTTTATTCATATTTAGACCCATGATGCAACGGTACACAATGCATACTAAGAGCACTACAAAAATGAACTAATTTGCAGTATTCCCAAAGGTTATTTAGCTTCAATCTATTGACTTGCTTTCAGAGACTTCTCAATGCACCCACATTGCTTCGCGCTCCACTGTCCTTTCCACTTCATTGATTTCCTTATGAAAAGATGGCAAACTAACCCTTTTGTGCTAGTCATGACAGCATAGAAATCTCTGATTGCCTAGACAAGCATTGTTTAAGTAAGCCACAAGGAGTAAGTAGTTGTTTCACACAGCTTTCCACGCTACCTGTAGCTGAGCTTCATCACCATAGCAGATCCTTGGATTGACCATCATGTTTCTCGTAACTGATCCCATGGCAATGGGCCAGCCAGTCTATGCCATTACCAATAATCCAACACCTGCGTTCCAGATATCTAGAAAAAGAAGCTTGGTGAGAATTTATAACAATTTTTGTTTCACTACAAATTAATTTAGAATATTAGTTAGTAGTTATTGGTAAACTTTTCAGTAAAGGTATTTGGCAAGTTTTTGATAGTAGGAATTTGTGCCTTATTCTTACTGATCATGCGGTTTATAGTTCACTTTCCTGATTGGTTTGAACATCACTTGGATTTTTTATGCAAATTAGATATTTTAAGTTAACCAATCATTGTTGGTATCTCCTTGGCCACCTGTTATTAGTATAGTCCCTATTTAACATTATGTTTCTCATTGTTATATTTAGCTAGGTAAAGTAACTCTTATCAGTTTTTTTCAATCTGAAAACTTCATAAAATATTATAGTATAGCCATGTCTGCTGAAATCTAAGCAAGTGTCTTAAGCTCTTTCGGTTGTAAATTTCTTTGGTTTTCGAGGGGAAAGAATGCCCTATTGAGCTTGTTTAACGTAGTGGATTAGGCTAATGAATGGCCTTCAAGGATGTTCTCCAGAAAGTTTGTATTGTCGACTGAACTTATTTACACAGCTGAGAAAGAGCCTGGCCTCTTATGAACCTCTTGTTGGACTAACAACGTAAATGATTCTTAAAAAGTATTCTGGGAATTTTTTTTTTTTACTTCTTTATACTTTATAGTAATACTTACTTTTACACATGACATATTATTACTGTACTTAAGGAATTTTTTATGTTTATTTTCTTATTTGTTTGCCATTAAAATATGAAAAATAATATTTTTTTGTAGTGTACTGTTACTTGCTAACTTATTTTACTCACACTCCACCTGTAATTCCGGTATTTGATCAATTAACCATCTTTATAAACACATTGTTGCTGTGCAGGTTAATAAATAAAGAATAAAGGTATTTTGAATGGAATAAAAGGTATTAGAGATCAGCCATCCATACTCTTCCATGCCGTGATTGCATATAATAAAATGTTGGATGTTTCCAACATATTGGAGTAGACGTACACGTACATGTTTCATCATATTTTGATGAAACTTAAGTTATAATTTTGACTCATGGTTTCGATGAGTGTTATATTATTGGTCAATTGCGATGTTTATATAATTATTGATTGTAATAGTTGAGATAAAATGGGTGAATGGAGAAATAAAAGTGGAACGATCCACAAAAAGACAAAAATAAAATTTTAAGTGAAAAAATGAAATATAAAATATAGATAGATACGGAATCATAATAATATCTGCTATTTAAAGGATTTGACAAATTTATTCTTTATACTCTTTGAATTTGTTCTGTCACTCAAGGAAAGAATATAATTGATATTTGATGAAAATATTTGTTTATTTACTACAGTAATGTGTTCATCATGCCATTCGTTTTGTAATTAAATTCTCATTTGCGTAACACAATAGAGTTCATATTATCAAAGTACCGTACAATTCAGCAATATATTGCATATTAGAGTCTGATTTTATCCTCATAAATACATCTCATTTGATATTCAGTGAAATTGTTATTGCAACAGGTACTAGTTAATCAAGTAAAGCCATCGGGTCTAATTAACATGTTAATCACTAACGATCAGATACACAGTGGATGGATTCATGTAACCAAAGCGTTTGTTTATTATTATTATTATATTATAGTTACTTTCAGACTTTGAATTTGGTTTGAAGCAATTTGTGTCTATTTAAATTTATTCAAGAATTTGTGGATACCGCTTAAGAGCTATTAATAACTTTAAGCCTTTTTTGTGATAATTACTCTCTTTATACCAGTAATTTATTTTATAAATCACAGAAATATTTGTTGAGTATTTTTTTGAAGATAGAAATATTTTATGTAAAGAAATTATCATCATTTTGGACAAAAAAAAATTATACTTCGTTCTTCCGATAAATTTCTTCTTCTAGCCCCTTCAAAAAGGAGAAAGCTAAAAACATATGGACAACGCTCTTTTTCTGTTCAGGCACCTTATCTTTGGAATCTATTACCTCTTTCCGTTCGACAATCTTCAAATTTAAACTCATTTAAAACTAATTTGAAAACATTTTTGTTTACAAAATCACTTTAATTGGGTTAATTGTTCACTGCGTCTTTGATAATATTTTTTGAATTGGCGCGTTATATATTTCTGCATATTATTATTATTAATTTAAATTAGGTTTTTGTTTGTTTTTTTGGTATGTGCAGTATGGGAATCTAAATTACAAATTCTTCTCAGGATATATTTATTCAGGAATATTTTGTCTTGGTTTTTTATCAGTAATAATAGAGTTTGCTAAAAAAAAAAAAAACCAAACTTACCTTGTTATCAGTAATTCAGTGTGAAAAACCCCTGATCTTATTGCATACTGTTTACTAGACTGATTGTGTTTCAGCCTATTTTGTATGTGAGAATCAAGTTGAATTTGTATTGTGTACTGCAGTACAGTTCGTCTGTACCCATAAAAAACTGTCAGGTGTTATTGGTTATACACAGTACTATAAAACAATTATACAATGCACAGATTGTAGGCTTAAAATGTATTCTTAAGAACATTGTAGTTAGCGAGTCTGATCTGTTCATAGAATCTAGTCATATAGAATCTTTGAAACACGTCATTCAACTATTGTTAATAACAAAAAAAAAACCCAGATAAATACAAAATAAATGAGGGAGTGGAGTTGGTTTTATGAGAAAATTTCTGGTATGTTGAAGGTGGTTGAACCTGTGAACTTTGGTTTGCAAGACAAGTACCATGAAGACTACATTGTAACTTGACATCTAGTGTAAACAAAAATAGTTTTATATTCATAAGAGGTTACCTAGTAACCTCCATTTCTAGGTAGTCTTACAAAAAATTTCTGTTGGTTATAACGATTTAACAATACTCTGATTGGTTTGTTTTTTTTTGCATTAAAAACAAATAACAAATTGTAGGTGCCATCATCAGTTTTATTTCCTTATTTATTTTTATTTATTTTTTATCACAGAATGCATGAAACTTTGTTGAGTGGTTTTTATTAAATCATTGTATTGCATGGATACTCTTTTACTCTCTCATTTTCAAGTGTGTATGTGTGTTCTCCCATTTTTCTCTGCTCAGACTTTTTCATCACTTTGGTTGTTACAGCATACTGTAGCGCTATCCACACTCTCAAGTTTTATATAACAAATGATTTGCCCATATTAAGTTGATGATATCATTAAGTTACCTGATAGTATGCTATATATGGGCAAATCACAGTTATTTGTTATATAATACTTGATAGTCTGAAAAGTGCATCTCTTTATTTTCCACTATTCTTCACTCATCACCTTTGTTTTTTCTCCATCTCACAGAGAGGGTCTGATGAACTGCTAAATCAGACATCTAGCGAGTGTGTAACTACTAACGTCATACCACCATCCAACCACTCAGATTGTGTCTCGCCTAATGCCAATGACGCCAAGAAGGTAATGCCTCTTACCCCCTCATCTTTCTATGGTTATTCACCACTATTTTTATTGCATGTACTTGGTTTTTGCTTGCTTTTACACTATATTTCATCTTTTCATCAGAGGGCATGGAAGCAGTTGAAGAAACCAACTAATGCCTCTGGTTATTCTAGGCCTATGTTATTTACTTTTGCACATTTTTACTAGACTTAAAATTAACAAATGTTTTTATTTGGCGAGCATTATAATTTACCATGTGTGGCTTTTTAATTTGAAAATGAATTCTAAGTTTGTAATTAGCTATGAATATTAATGAGTCAAATAATAACATGAATCAAATATTAAATGCTTGAATATTAAATTCAAAGGTTACAAACCAGAGCTTTGGCTCCACCATGAATAATATATTCAGACATGTACAGTAAAGTATAGATAATAAGAAAGAAACCATGTCTGAAGCCAGAAAAATACCACAACTCTTTAATTAGTGATCTTCTATGCTGCAGAAAGTCATATATATAATCTGCATATAAAATGTAGAAGACAATACTTTATTGTAATATGCATTCAAACCATATTGACTGTTGATAAATGTCATCAGATAATTGTGTGACTAGACACAAAACCTTGAATCAGTACTTGGGGAAAATATAAATATTTTACTTGGTTTTTAACTTCAAGGTGAAGACTACAAAGGTTTTTATTGTGAAATCATCCAGAAGACATAAAGTGATGGAAACGGACGAGAAAAGTGTTTTCGTCTTGTTAGCAATTTACTTCCTATTCAAGTAGTATTTGGATAGACATGTGTACAAGTGTTTCTCCACTGTTTATATTGAAATTCAGATTTATACATACATTGGTAAACTACCAATACTTTTGACTGATAAATCTGGATGAATTTTGACTTTATTATTTACAGTAACATTTCATAAACTATTTTGCTGATTTATAATTTTTTTCTTCATTCAGCTTCATTTCCAGCCAATTTATGGATTAACTTTATTGTTGTACAAGCTATATAGGAACAGATTTAAGCATCTGCTCAATTTCTATGGAAACTGTTTTTCTCATTCTGATTCTTAATTAAATTTAAAAACTGGGAGTGGGGATGGAACGGACATAACCACCCGTTTGCCACCTTTTTTCCCTCATTTTGTTTTTCCAAAAATTTGTATTTCATTAAACATTCTTTTTGTGTCTTAGAAAATCAGTTGTACAACCTAGCATTAAAATTAGCAACTTAGTTACAGAGTAAATATTTGTATAGATTTCAGTGCATCTAAAAAATTAAATGATGTATGATGTGATATAATCTCTTGTTTTCAGTTAGGCTGGTTTTCCGCTAGGTGAATCAAAGGCATCGGTTTTGTTCCTGAGCTCTGATTGGTTGCGCACATTTTTCGCTTCGCAAAAGTAGCTGAAGCGAATATTTCGATAGAAATGTGAATGCGCATGAACGACGCTTTCAATTTGCGCAAATAAATTCGCCTAGTGGAAAACTGAATTTATGACGTCTAGATTATTTATGAAACATTTTATTTGAACTAAATGTAAATTAAATTAGATGTAATTTCCAAGTGTTTTGTAAGTGGTTAATTCACAACCTACTGATTGAAATATGTCTACCCACTGCTTACAGTCAAACAAAAAATAATACTGTTTTTATGTACTGATTTCAGGTTTTTTGCTACCTATAAATACCTCAAAATAATAAAATATCATTAGTCTTTTGCATTTAGCCACCTGTGCACTAATGTTCTGTTTTGCATGTTTTCTACACAGGTGAAGCGAGAGAAACCCACAGTGTCAAAAGTAGTGCACATCCGTAATTTAGATGATAGTACAACAGAGGGTGATGTGATTACTCTTGGTATGCCTTTTGCCAAACCAACTAAGGTGCTTATTCTAAAGGGCAAAAGACAGGTAAGAAAACTATAAACATCTGCGTGATCCACCTGTCCTTTTTTAATACCTGATGATATGCCTATGTGTGTGGGAATACAATGCTTAAAAAATAATAGGTCTTTACTTGATCATAGTAGAATGAGAAACATCTTAGCTTATGTGTAAACTGTAGTGTAGCAAAAGTTGGTAATAATACTAACAGTAATAATGTAATGTAATGGGACTTATACCAAAACTCAATCCATTTCAAAATGGAAAAGAAAGAGGAGGTGCTGAAATAAATTACGACAATTATATAACCTTATACACATCTAGATGTGTATAAGAGACAGGCCTATGTGTGTGGGAATACAATGCTTAAAAAATAATAGGTCTTTACTTGATCATAGTAGAATGAGAAACATCTTAGCTTATGTGTAAACTGTAGTGTAGCAATATTAATATGAACACATAACAGTAATAATGTAATGTAATGGGACTTATACCAAAACTCAATCCATTTCAAAATGGAAAAGAAAGAGGAGGTGCTGAAATAAATTACGACAATTATATAACCCTATACCAATAATATATTAACTAGAAAACTGAACAAATTTGACGCAAACTAAGCAGTGAAACCAGACATCACTGCATTACTCGGCCACAGCTTAAGACCACAGAAAAGCTGTAATAATAATAATAATAATAATAAATAATATTACAAATTTATTAATATGAACACATTAAAAAAAAAATTATAGTAGATTTAGATTTAAAGAATTGCTACTAAAAAAATATTTGAAATGTACATCTGCCTTGTTAGTTTGAAATGAGACTTGATTGGAAAGACATCTGTAAGTGTTGTAGTTATGATAATGGTGTGCTTTATTGGTCTGTGGATAGGATACAAGTAATATTGACTACACTAATCTAATGGCCTTCAAATAGCTTTAATAAACTATTGATTATATTCTGCAACTTGAATGTGTTTTCAGAGCTTTTATTTCTCCTAATTAATCGCAAGCCTTGGGTACCAAGAATCCATGATAATGTGTCCCTGGTACCATTGTCCGTTTCTCCTTTTTTTACTTGCAAATTATTTGCTTCCATAAATTATTCAGTTTCTTTTTATGTTACAAGAATTCCTTAATGATATCCATGGTATTTTAACAGACAGGTAAAAAGTGTGTTTTAAAAAATGTTAATATATGCTTGAAGTCTTCAGTGGTAATGTGATTTGCAGGCAACTGTCATTTTACAGTGATGTGATAGTAACAGTGATAATTTGTTGATGGTTTGAAGAAATATTCTACTAGTGATGGTAATGGTTTAGTAATTAGGAAAATATAAATTTATTTAAATCTAATAAAACAATAGCAACATAAAAACAATATTAAAGTTATAATTCTATATAATACAAAAAATAAATAAAAATAATGGTGGTTTGATATTGATACCAAGGATAACTATAGGAAAATTGAGTACAAACAAAAGTGATGAGGTCACCACTGACTTATAATGAGAGATTATTGTCAAAATGATATTATTGAGGTTTAATTGTTCTTTAGGCTTTTCTTGAGATGCCAGATGAGGCCTCAGCAGCAACTATGGTCAACTACTACACACATGTTTCTGTAACAATTCGGGGAAGACCAGTTTATGTACAGTACTCAAACCACAAAGAAGTCACAACAGACAAAATCAATGCACAACAGGTGAGAAAAACTGTAACAATATTGTGTTATTTTTATTTCATTTGCATACAACTTTTAGGCACAACAGCCAAGAATTTGAGGCTTGAGGAGTGTGTTTGTGGTTGTGAGAGGAAGTATAGTTACCATGACAAAATTTATACCTAGGACCATGGGATTGGAAGGCCAGCATTTCAACCACCAAGCTGTTCAACTCTTTTTCAATGACGTTTATTAATCAATAAAATGTTGCAAAACAATCACGCACTCTCAGACATGTCTCTTATGAGTTGAGTATGACAGACAAAAATCGGAATGAATATTGCCAGCTCAAGCCTTGATGATTTATACTCCATAATAGCATATCCTATTTCTCATTGTGAAAACAACATCAATATCTTTTGCAAAGATGTTCCATAATGATAACCAAATCATAGCTTTTGACCTAGAAAAGACTCCAATATATCAACAATTATTTACAGATGATTAAGATAGGTCTCAGGTTTTAACTTCAGTGGCATCTTATAAATAGTAGGCTTGTTGACGGTTGGTTGACGATTGCATATGGCAACTAACAAGATGTTATATGTGTGTCACTAGTTATTACCTAGATATCTTTAATAAAGCATTATTTTAATGAGGTTTTTTACTTCTATATCTTTTTTTCCTTTATAGAATCACTAAAATAAGAAAAAGTCATATAAACCTAATTAGATACTTTTAAATTGTTTTTATTCAAAAGGATTGTATGAATATATGTAATAGAAATATACAAAATATACAGTATTCAGGACATATTACAAATAGGCTTACAACACAGATTAACATTTGATATTTCAAATACAAAATAAATCCAACATAAAATTGTAAATTATATGCACCTTTGTAAAAGTACTTCAGTCCTAAAATATAGCAATGTTTCTCATAATCAGATTTAGCACAGATCCATGTTTATAAAAGTAACAATTAGAACAAAGGGAAAGAAATTTTTATTGGATTAATTTCATTTCATTACACAAAGACCTACAATATCAATCAATCTTGGTTTGGGTCTTGTTACCTAAACAGATTGGTCCTACAGTATCCTTATACAAATGTAGGGCTTGTATTTAATTAAAAGTGTAATTTGTAATTTTGTCCTTAATCATGCATAGATGAGAACATATAGGTAAATAATACATTCCTCCATATTGAAAGTGGATTAATTCCATGAGATTTGTTCTTTGTGTAAAAATACATGTACCAAGTCAAAAATGCCAGTAATTTTGTTGTGATTCTGCATTCGACATCTGCAACTTAGCTTAATGTATTTCATATAATATTTTGTAATAATCCATATGTTTTAGGCCTTGGCTCATTAAGCATGGCTTTATCTGAAGACAGCCTAGTCCAAGCGCTGTTATACACATATACTATTTTACTATTATGCTCTCCTACATAATTCACAATTTTGATGAGTTTTAACCGATAGCATGAATCGGTAAGTTCATTCCTCATTTGCTGTCACTAAGTGATGTATTAATATTGGTAAAAAAAAACATTTTCTGAAATTTTTTTATATATTTTTTAATTATAATTAATGTTGATTATGCTATGTTGGAATGTTGATATTAGTGTTGAAGAACATAAACTGCCAATGCTGATTTCAAAAGTAAATAAAGAGTTTACTATGTTGAAGTGTTTATCAGGACAATATATTTATCTACAAGTATTATCTTATTGTTTGTTTCTCAACATGGTAGGTTAATATACCTAATTAAATTTCATTCAAACTATTGTAAAAATTCAACTTAATGTAAAACGATATATAATTGTATGTTATTGGAGCAGTGGGTTGGTGGTTAGCAGCCTTGCCTTCCAATTCCAGGGTCCTGGATTCAAATCCTACAATGTTGTTGAGTAGAGTGTAGCTTGGTAGCCTTCTATCTAATCCTAGGGCCCTAAGTTCACATCCTGCCATGTTAATGGAGCAGAGTTGTAATTAAGATACTTTATTAGAATTCACATTTTAGCTGAATTCAGTTTAGACTTAAGCACAAACTCCCAGACCAAAAGCAGTCTACAGGAATTGTTGTCACAAATACTTTATTTTAGCAGGGCTACAAAACTATGCTTATGGGTGCAGCAATGGTATTATGTTTGCCTAATTGATCATGTTCGAAGTGCTTACAAAAAGAGCATGAATTTATACGAAGGCAATTGAATTACATGCATTCATCCTTACCATGTCATAGATTAAATAGGCAGTATCAAAGAATTATAGGAATGGACATACAATAGAAAGAATAGAATTTTTCCACACCTTCACTATACCTCTGTTGACATATAGAATACCACGTTTATACAAATTAACTTCATTGAATTTGTTCTAGAGGGTGATGTTTACCCTTTAGTCAAGCCCTGGCAAAACCAGGACTTTCCCTTATAAATACAAAAAGCCCACTTCCACTTCATAAGCCTCTAGTCTTAATGGGATTTGAGTTTATACAAACTTACATCCATTCTGTAAGTGACAAGTCACTCGCCATTGAGTGAGAATAAGTTTAAATAAAGTAATAGAGTTTTAATGAGTGTGTTTTCCTCTTCATGTTTAACAATGTATATTTTCTTTATTTCAGGTAATTCAATCTACTTTATTTCTTCACAGTATAATAATCTATCTTTCTTTTAATCTTATTGTATTCTTAAATGTATTTTCCCTTCTTTTATTGTTCTTTTTCCTTATATGTGAGCTTTTCTTTTTCTCTAGACTGTTATTGCTCAAGCGGCTATTGCTGCAGTAAATGCAGTATTGAACTCTAACGATGGCGCAGACCAATCCGACGTTCCTATCGATAAGGTTCTTTCTCTTATACATCTTTTCTCATCTTTTGCTTACATGTCCCACTTCACAACTTGACACGTGCATAATAATTAGGATAGTAATGCTAAACTGTACTTCAGTTGCGCCACTAATGAGTAAGCTAAGCTGTGCCACGTGTAAACCATCATGTGGGTTTTGCACATGTCCTATTTATGTGTCAGGTTGTGTAGTTGAGGACGGTATTCGTGTCCGTCTTACTTTTTCACGCAAGTAACTCCATGCTTATCTTACCTCTGCACATTTCTTTCAAGTTTGCACTTAAAATTGAGTTGGCTTATTTAAGTCACTTTATTTGACAATGAATTTTCTTATTTGGCAATTTAGCAACTAAAATACCAAAGTTATTGAGTAAGTAAGTTGTCTAATAACACACCTTAATGAGATTCTATTAGATGCTGCGTGTCAACTTTAAAACACAAATTTGTTTTAATTGATTCATATAAAGATATTGGTGAGTGCTTAAATGGCATTGTGTGATGCATGACAATTATTAATTTAATACAAGTACAATAATTGGAATGCTGTAAGTATCCTCACACAGGTTAGGCAGGAATTTAGTGGTGAATTTAATTACATTGGTGTATCATGACACATCTTCAAATTGCACTAAGCCTTGTCTAGACCATCACATTTTATTTGACAGAAACTTGTGACATGGCTAAATATGGTCATGATGTCATTACATTATGACCATATATAGACACATCATGACCATATATGAGCATACAACAGTTTTTTTTGTCAAGGAATAGTCTGGACAGAGTTTAAGCTATGTTGTAGTAGCTTCCACTTCAAATTTAGTTTATGCCAACAATAACTTCCAATAAGACAGGTTTTTTTTATTATGCAAAGAATACTTTTCATATGAAAAGTGCCTGTATATTTGCTACTTGATAGCGAAACACAGCACAGGGAAACAAAGTCTACTTTGTGGGCGTTTTGTTGTATTTTTGAGAAATTGTTGATATTAATTGGTGAAATGTTGTGTGATGTTTAAAAGCACATGTGGCTAACATGGTGTATGGTTAGTGGAATATGGAAACATAAAACATAATTGATTTCTAGACACAATTTAACGAGTATTGTTTATATTTGTAAATAAAGTCCACCATCCAAATTAAACTAGCATTCCATTGTTAATGTTACGTATTTAAATTAACTTAATATTATCTATTTTTAATATGATCACTTAATTAAAGAAACAACATAATTTAGTGTTAATTACATGAATTTGTATTTTTGCTGACAATGAGGGCACTATATAAGATAATGACATTTTTTGGTGATTTTTATTATTTAACACATTGAATGGTTGTATTAACAGTAAATTCAGCATTTCATTCATGTTATTTTGTGTATACATGTTGAACCATTTTTGAGAACTTTCTACATTGAGCAGCCCATGAAATTTGGAAAAAAAATAGGTCGGCAAAAATTTGCCAAACTTAAATTCTCCGAGGTCGGCAGTCTCGGCAATTTTTTACTACCTAGGCCTATAGTAAACTATGATTTTTCTGAACACTCGACTTTACATCATCATCTACAGATCATGTTGTTAATTATCTCTGTTAAATCAATATATTGTTGATGAAAGAATGGTTGCACTGTAAAACATAAGAAAATCGCAGAAGAAATGTTGTTATAGCATTCAATTTAGCGTTCTCTTTAGCATGGGGAATATCACTTTCATAAAATCTACGATCGTATCAACAGAGGCTGTCTGTGCTCCAAACGGCCCAAGCATGTCCATGCTCATGCCCAGAATAATCTGTCTGGGATTTTCCATTCCACATGTCTACGTGACAGAGTGAAGGCACGATGTGATCGTGTTTGTGTTTGCGGACGGTAGGATTAGGCCTACAATATGATTAATTTGGTTGTTTTTAGATAATAAACACTTTTTATATGATAATAATACTGTACAATGAAGACAATAGATTTAGATAAGCATTACGATATACGCATCCCATGTGGCTTCAATTGGGCGATGTGTTTTAGGTCTTGGCTGGCTAGCGTCACTCCTTCCTACCTAGCCTACGAAAAGACTACAGTAGGCCTAGCTAAGCGAGAAAGACAAGCACACATCGTACGTATGCCTATTGAAAATAATTATTGTACAAACAAATCTGTTTTACGAACAACCACTTTCCTTGGTTTGATGATGTACTTTAAATTTAGTTTCTGCTATAGCCTGTTTCCATGCAGTTTTTGAAGCAAAGAAATCTAGGCCTAGGTTGGCAAAAAATTGCTGCCTTTCTGTGGCAATTCTGGATTGGCAATATGGTCGGCAATAGCCGACATGAAATTCATGGGCTGCATTTAGTGTATTAATTTTACGCATAACGGTGTCACCATATCATATTCCATTCGTTTTTAATAATGTCCCAATATAGTGAAAATATTTTATTCTCTTGTACATTTCAGTAATTTTTACTTTTTTATTAACAGAATGCTGCAGCACAGGCAGCCTTACAAGCAGCACAATCTCTGTTGCCAACGTTCCCAATGGCAACAAAGGCAGCAGCAGAGGGTGGTGGTGAGAATACAGTGCTGCGTGTGATCGTTGACAACATGTTGTACCCTGTCACCTTAGATATTCTGCATCAGATTTTTAATAAGTTTGGCCAGATTCTCAGAATTGTCACCTTCACAAAAAACAGTATGTAAATATAATGTTTATTATGATTGCACACTTACCTAAATCTCTGTCAAATATTATGATTTCACTCTTACTAAAGCTCTGTCCACACTATCAAGTATTATGATGACACTCTCATCTAAAGTTTGTCCACACTATCAAGCATTATTATAACACTCTTACCTAAAGGTTTGTTCACACTATCAAGCATTATTATAACACTCTTACCTAAAGGTTTGTTCACACTATCAAGCATTATTATAACACTCTTACCTAAAGGTTTGTCCACACTATCAAGCATTATTATAACACTCTTACCTAAAGGTTTGTTCACACTATCAAGCATTATTATAACGCTCTTACCTAAAGGTTTGTTCACACTATCAAGCATTATTATAACACTCTTACCTAAAGGTTTGTCCACACTATCAAGCATTATTATAACACTCTTACCTAAAGGTTTGTCCACACTATCAAGCATTATTAACACTCTTACCTAAAGGTTTGTCCACACTATCAAGCATTATTATAACACTCTTACCTAAAGCTGTGTTCACACTATCAAGCATTATTATAACACTCTTACCTAAAGCTGTGTCCACAAAGGTATTAGTCACATAAAACTTGATAATGTGGACAAGTTTAAAGCTACCGATACTCTTTTTATTTGAAAGTTCAAAGAATTATGAAAAGCAGCTGACAGGAATCTTGACATGTTAACAAAAGCCACAAATTAAAAAAACTTGACAAGCCCGATGAATATAGAAATTATTATGGCTTACTGTGCATTAAAACCCCAACAATACATGCCACCAATGTAAATTCTTGTTAATAGAATATTGACAAAAGCAGTCAGACTATGCTTTACAGGAAACTAAACTGGTACAATGATTAGTGGTTTCATATGCTTAACAATTCCATCATATAAAAGGCTTTATTGATTATTTGTTACAGCTCAGTTTCAGGCTCTGATTCAGTTCCAAGATAAATTAGCAGCACAGGCAGCAAGATATGTAAGTTTTCCAACATTGCGTTATTACCCCTTTTCCCATCCTGTATTCCACATTGCTGGGTTAAAAAAAAAATTTATTGACACAAACGCAAGAAATAAGAAAACCATTCGAGCATGTGCTACAAAAAATAATAACGAATAAATGAAGTTTTTTGAATTATGTGAGGAGGTTCTTATTGATATTCCTGTTAAGGAGGTCCAGATCGACTACTCCAATATTATGACTACACTTAGGTGAACAAGAAAAATGAATGAATGATTGATGAAAGTAAACATTGTTGAGGTTTAATAAATGTGAATGAAGGTTTGAATGAATGAATGGTTGAATGAATGGTATCAATACAACACAATATATTCCCTCACCAGTCTTTAGACGGTCAAAATGTATACAACGGTTGCTGTACGTTACGAATTGACTACTCAAAGATGACAACACTTCAGGTGAAATACAACAATGACAAGAGCCGAGACTACACAAAAATGGACCTTCCATCTGGTGACAGCATCGGGATGCCATCCCACGACCCAGCTATGTATGGTAGGTCAACGCCAACCCTAAAAATCGCTGCTTTCCTGCTCTTGTTCTTATTTTTCCCTTATGAGTTTCTATATTGTTTCCACCCAATTCAAATATTTGTAATCATATCATAACATAAATAAATTAGTTAATCAATTTTATTTTCCATATTAATTGGATGGTATATTTCATACTAACAATGTTTATAAAATAATATTTTAATATTTTGTTTCAAAACAGTATAATACAGTTTGATTAAACTATTTTGTTATTTAATTCAATTATTTTGTTTAATTTAATTGAAATAGTAAAGGATTTCATGATAAAATTTGCTACTGGGCCTTTTTTATGTTCCTCCCTAACATTTAGATCTTTTAAAGGTTTTTCAAATATATATATTTATACCCAAACCTTTTTAAGTCGGCAGCAAAATACATAAGTAGTAAATAAATTCTAACAAAACCTTGGAGCATGAAAATTATTCCAAAGTCTAGCAATGTATATGGACACTGTTCTCTTTTTCTTCCTTTTTCCACCTCTTTCATACTGTGTAGTTTATCACTCATTCTATCATCATTCACGCCATACACCACTGATTTTAAGTTCATTGTTTAAATGCACTTAACATGGCGTAGGTTAATTTGCACCAATATTACTATGGGAGCATGAAATGTCAGATGCTAAAACCAGATATTTGGACAAGAAATTGGAAGAATACTGGTTATAATTTTTAAATCAATTAGTATTAATGCAGACAAAGATTTAAATTTGCATAATGTTTTGATAAAAGACAATAAATACAATGCTTAATCAATATATTTTTCATTATTACTTTAGTTTGAATTGTTTATGTTGAAATATTTTTATACTTTGGTACTGATTTCTTAATACATGCTTATTCAGATCCATTGCACATTAACAAAGATATATGGCCGTTACCCCTATCATAGGGCCGTTACCCCCTATCAACTCCCATGTGGCCTTTGCTGAAACTAAACCCACTAACATATGGTGGTGCATGCTTCCCCCTGTGTCGTACAGGCATTCCCAGTGCTGCAGGTCTCATCCCATCTCCATTGTCAATCGCTGGAACCACTGCTTTTGCTGCAAACCCTCACTTGGCAGGCTTTCCAGGCATAGGCATACCAACCTCCGCAGGTACTCAGTTTGTTTTGTCTGCACTGTACATGTTGTTATGGCAAATTTGACTTGAAATCTAAAATGTTCTGATTGGCCTGGTTACTACTTGGCTTTCAAATTGTGTGAATGATATTAACCAATAAGAGAGAAGCTCTATAGTTTGGTTGTTTGTGCATGAAAAATATTTTCTCACACATGCATATTGTGTTAAATGTTTTCATATCATAACCGCATGATCAGAATATTGTCAATGTTCTAAGGAGTATGAACTTTGACTTTTGACACTCAATTTAATTACCTTTGATTCATATGGTATCTATTTTATTTTAATTTAAAATGAAATAGATAATAATTCAATTGCATTTGTCATGATATCATAATGCATATTTAAATTAATTATTTTTTGGTGTGTATTTTGATCATTATATGTATTTCATTGGAATGTTTTACTAATATAGTTTAATATGCAAGAGGACATTGTGTTAATAATCCTGATTGCTTTGTTTTGAAAGTTCTTAATTGAAATCTAAAATGTTAAGAAGTTTTGTTTGTATTGTTATGTGATTGATTTTAAGTACTTTCAGTTTAACCAATCTTGTTTGGCATTTTGTTTTCAAATAATAATATCTTAGGCCAATAACCATATTTTAAATGATGTTTTTGTGGCTGTAAATATTTATTTCTTTTTTTAGGGGATTGGGTATATTTTGAAATTTATAATTTGTATAAGTTGTTTTTTATGATTGTTAATATTATTAGTAAAATTATTAATCCTGGGATTATACTTATTGTTTAAACATAGTACTTTTGTACAATACTAGTGAAAACTATGAATTAAATAGAAAAAGTGCCACTGCAGTAGTACTATTAGGAATCACTGTATCCAAGTTTGAGATAATTCCTGCTATAGGACAAATTAGTCAGCTTTATATTATTGATTCATGAAGGTCTTGAAAAAGAAATGAACTTAAAATAGCATAAAGGAAACAAGAGGAAAATCAGTCTAATACAATAAGCCGCAATACATGTCGTAAATCTTGTGATTTTTTTTGATAATACAAAAACATGCATGATCTGCACATTAACCAGATGTTTGACACATTTTTTAATACTGAAATATAAACAATATAATTTGCCGGAGAAATTATTAATATCTTGTGTTGAGATTTGTTTGTGTTTATTACAGTTCCTGGTCTGCTGCCCTCATTCCCACATAACCCTGTTCTCGGTGGTGGAGGAATGCGTTTTCCAAACATCCATAACACTGGTGGCGGAAGCAGTGTCCTCCTTGTTAGTAATCTGAACCCAGACGTAAGTGATATTTTTTTTTCAATTTCTTGCTTAGTTATTTTTTTTTTCTTTTGTGGATCATTGAGGATGTGAATTGGATGATTCATCCTCGTTTCCCGTTCGGCACACAACAGATCTTAAATTTATGAATGTACGGAAGTCACGTTTTACAATGCAATGACAAATAATTGCACACAATGTGCCCATCGATTCTGGCATGTATTCTTTTAATGGAAAGCTATTAAAAATATATTTGATATTTGTCCAAATTATACCCATTATTAGAATGCTTAACATTTTATAGTTTTCTAATTAATTACTGTTGTTAAATTGATATTAAACAAGTTTAGTCTGAAATTTTGAAAATATTGATAATATAAACATTGCAAATAGTATCAATGTGATTTTGCACAAGTTTCAAATGGGAAAATAAAGGAAAAAAGGTTTTATTGAATATAATTCTTGCACATTTTCTTGCTGGCTCACATTTCAGCCAGTTAATAGTCTTAAAGCTCTCTCCACTCTTTTCATGTGACAAGTTTATGTAAATTCTCCATATATGGACATGATGGTGTCATCACATCACCATATGGGCATAATGATCTCATACCCATATATGGGCAATTTTTTCCCTCTTTTAATATTAAAAAAAGTAATTAGAAAAAAAGAAATTATAATTATGTTAATTTATATCAATCTAATCTTTTATAAAAATAATAATATATTAAAATAGAGCCATATTGGTTTTGATAAAAATTATATGATGTAAATGATTTATATATAGATGTGTATAAGAGACAGCCATTCGAGCATGTGCTACAAAAAATAATAACGAATAAATGAAGTTTTTTGAATTATGTGAGGAGGTTCTTATTGATCAAAATCAAATCAATCAAAATATGTGATTGTTGATAGTTATGAATATTTTTTTAATTACTATTGTGATAAGTATATTGCTACTACTATTGCTATAATTATTATTATTATTCTTATTATTATTATTATTATTATTTTTTTTTTTTTTAAAGTATTATTACTACTGTTGCTACTACTGTTAGTATGATTATTTTTATTATTATTTTCTATTTTTAATGAACCTTTTGTATATTTAATGTATTTTTACCATGTCATAAATACCAATATAAGTATTTTTTTCATGTTTATTTTTTTATTGAAGAGATAATAATGATAAGTTGGCTAGGTTATGATTTTGCCTGTACAAATGCAGCTTCATTTATTTGCATGGCCATATAATATGATCAGTCCCACATCTGCTCTGTTAGAATCTGTGTAAACATTGTTTTAATATGTTTGAAAAGAGATTCCGCTTCTTTATGTCCACACTTACCTATATAACTAGCACTATTTATTTTTCATAGACGTTGATGATATCATTCTTTTGTTGCCATAACAACAGCAGCCTAATTTCAGCCTAAGCACTGCCTCTTTGACTCGGAAGTTCTCTCTATTGTCCACCGATAACATCCACCAAATAAAAACAAATCCGCTGGGCTAACTATCTAACGCTTTATATGATTTCTTACACAGGGCTAAGTACTGGTCCTCAACTAAAAGATATACTTTAATTATGTGATATGCAACGGAATCTTTTATATTGTGGCCTTCTATAACTCCTATGTTTCATTTTACCTCTTTCCATTGTTATACTATATTTATATACATTATATTTATATAGGGAGGTGATTGATAATGACAAACTGATAACGAACATCTTTTTTCATCTCTCCTTTCTCCTATCTATGCCTTCCTGTGTCATTGTCTCCTGTTGCCTTCACCTACTCTGACCCAATCGTTCACGTGTGCATAGCGAGTTACGCCTGACGCTCTCTTTACCCTTTTTGGTATGCACCTATTTTTTGTTTGTATTTCCTTACTATTAGTGTTAAACTATTAGTGTATAGTGCTTAAGTAAGTTTCATAAGACTATTTAATTATGAGTTAAAATATCAAAATATATTTAAACTTTTTAAATTATTTATTGACCCCAATATTCCAATATAATGATTCTTCTGTTGTTTTTATATTATATTTTAAAAAAATATATAAAATCCATTTAATTTTCTGCCAACCCCTTGCATGTTTTATTCAAATATTATCTTTGGTGGTTTAATTTCTTCTGTAATTTTGTAGTATTCTTAATTTTAAAGTTCCTCTTTTTGATGTTTTTCTTGATTTTTTCCCTTTTGTTATTTTATTTATAGTATTTTTTAAACCCAGTTTAGCAGAAGATTGTTTGGGTTTGCTGTGTAGTGCACCTATATTTAATTGCATGAGGCTTTCCAATAAGGCATCCCTAAGTCATGCATGCCACCATGCCACTACCACTCATTACATTACAATATTGGTTCATTGAGTAAATCATTTCAATGCTCCCCTCCCTATTCTTGATAGATTTCTCTTTATCATTGTCCAATAATATTTTTTAGATAATTTAATTAGTATAAACAACGTAATTTTTTCCTATGAGGGGATTTATATAATATATTTTTTGGTGACAGTCTTATCTACAGTCATTTTGGGGTGCACATCAAACAATTTACTTGGCACAACACTAATACCTCATCCTAATAAAAACCTTTTTAAGAATACTACTTTTGGAATCAACAAGATCACTTAATCATTTAAACATTTTGTAAAATCGTAAGGTGTAGCTTTAATGTTTGATTCTGTATGTAGCATTATTGATAACAATATTTTACTGTTTGTCGTGTTTGATAACAAATTATCCACACATCAACATTCTATGGAATATTAACTTGGTTTTTAAATGATTCTTTAGGTGTATACGGGGATGTACATAGGGTGAAAATCCTATATGAGAAGCGTGACAGTGCCCTTATTCAGTTAGCGGACGCAAATCAGTCTCACCTTGGTAAGTTTGCATTTAAGAATAGTTTAGGGTAAACATTCTTTGACTTTATAGCCGAAACTGCCACATATCATAGATGAGAAAACACACATATATAACAATTGTTAAAATATTTAGTGAATAGGTTTAAGCTCCAAGAATAATAATACTGGTAATAGTATTGGTAGAAGAATTTGTAAAATTAATAAAATTATCATAAACTGGCCATTTATTTAGAAACCCATTGTGTGGCAAAAATAATGTTATATTTCTCAGAATTTAAATATTTGTTATACAATATGTATTTCTTGATGTATTACCATATTAGAATCTACTTGGGCATTTCTTGTACAACTTTTTTGATTTCATCATAAAAGTAATGATGATTTTCAATAATATTAGTTCATTGTTTTTTTACAATTTAGCGATGTCACATTTGAATAGTCTGAAGCTGTATGATAAGCCGATTCGAGTTGCAATCTCCAAACACCATCAAGTCTCTCTACCAAAAGAAGGGCAACAGGTTTGTTGCATTTTATTTATTATCTCATCTACAAAATTATAAAATAGAGGGAGCAATCAACCAATCGTTCTACCTATATTGTGCCATTCCTACAGTTATTGCTTGTCACGCTGTTCAAAATACAAGATTATCTTAAGTAGTGACTTAAAACTCTCAATTGAATGTGAATGCTTAACGATCAAAGATGTTTGAATATAATGGCAAATGCAAAGAATAATAGGAAAGAGATTATGAATTTTGTCTTCCTTTTTTTTAAAGGATGCTGGACTGACAAAAGATTTCACAAATTCACCGCTTCATCGCTTCAAGAAGCCAGGATCAAAGAATTACCAGAATATTTACCCACCTAACCAAGTTCTCCATCTTTCAAACATTCCGTAAGTATATTTTCATTTTCAGTATATCTTCACTTGGGTGGTTTTTAAAATTGTGAGAACTACAAAATGAGTGGAATTTCAAAGCCTGTAAGGAATTTCAATGTGGAAAACAAGAGAATATTCACTGGAGCACATTCCAATGTTGATATTACTGTTGATAATGTATTTTTACATCTGTTAATTGGCAGAAATTGTTTTTGTTGTAATGATAATAATGATAAGGCCAAAAAAAATAAATTGTTGGTTTGCCCTTCTTTTTAAAAAAATGATGAATAGGGTGGAAAAAGTTTTTTTTTCTATTTTTAATTTTTTTTACAAACACCGTCAACATTTTGCAATGAATGTAGGCATAGAATAGCAATATCTTACATCAGAAAACAATTTAGACAACTCTGTTGACCATCTAGCAAAAAGATCAATTCACTCACATTATTTTTTATTTTTTTATTTTTTAAGTTCTATTCAGACTGTCAAATTTTCTTTGACAAAAAAATGTTCTATGCCCATATATATATACACGAATCTAAGAGAACTTTATTGAACAGCGCCCTCTTTTATGTTGTCGCCATTACTGGGGTGGCATTTCCGAATATCTAATGTTGGTTGTGTTTATCAATGCAGTACAGTAGTTGTTGAGAAATACAGTTTTCTTCAAAAGTAGCAGCTGCATAATGCACCACACCGCATTGCCATTTTAGGAGTATTGGCATAATGGCCTCGACAAAAGAGGGCACCATTCTTCTTGGATTCATCTATAGTCATGATGTGCCTATAAATGGTCATTATACACATAAAATATGGGCAATATCCAAATATAGTTTATATAATAATTATAAATTCTAAGAAAACCACTAATTACAAAATTTCATTCTGTTCTTCAGAGCATCTGTGACAGAAGAGGACCTGAAGAACGCATTTACTCAACACGGTACAGTTTGCGGCTTCAAGTTTTTCCCGTAAGTAGCTTTATTTTTTTATATTTTTTTTTATGTTTGAAACTGTAGATACAATGTTCCCCACTGCTACTAAACATGTGGAGGATGTGCTACAAGCATGCCCTCTAGTTTTTATATCTTTAATGAGGAATATCTGTTAATAAAACAATTGTCTACATATATTGTTTTTGTAAGAGTTTGTTTTTTTTTACTGCTGGTGAGGAGGTTGTTTGTTAGCAGGTTTACGGAAAAACTAATGAATGGATCATAAAAGTTGGTGGAGTGTTAGATATAGGTCTAAGGAAGAGGTGATTAATTTTGGGATGAAAAGGTCAAAGATGAAGGTCAAGTTGATGCAAATTTAAGCAAGTTTCTTGAAACTTACACATAAATTAAGAATTAAAATAATGAATTCACCTGGCTCTGAGGGTGTTATTTGTTATTCAGGCACAGGGCTGAGGTATGCACGTTATGGAGTGCTGCTCCAGTGTCTAGTTTTTACTTCAATTTATTCAGGAATTAAAATCACATATTTCTTGAATACAAAACAAAAAAAACAGATAAATGATTATGTTTTGTGCTGTTCTGCTTATTGTTGATTATTGTTTGTTTATTAATTTAACAGGAAAGACCGTAAGATGGCTCTGATTCAGATGAATAATTTGGAAGAGGCTGTAGAAGCACTTGTAGTAAGTTCATCACTTTACTCCATTATCTAAGTTGGCAAGGACCAGGACTAGGACCTTTACAGGGACCAGGGCAAAAGCCTGGACTGTCCAGCATCTGAACAGGGACCTGGACACCAAAGGCGCATTAATACAAATTTTAAAGAGACACTACATAAAAAGGGAAAACAAGACCAACTTCTCAATACAAGATATAAAATTCCAGTAGAATAGGTGATATAGGTGTATGATATATACAGAAAACTAAATACAATGAACTTATAAAAAAAAATATAAATAGGAAATGTAAATTAAACACATACTCATATTAAAGTGAGATGTTTTGGATGCCACTACAAGTATTTTTATAGAAAACACATTTTGTATTTTTTAATTAATTCTGCCATTTAATTAATTCTGCTCCCTCTTTTAATATCGTTATCGTTCAAGTTGGTTTTAAAGTGGGTGGTTCGGTAGAGAGAACGATGATCATGGTATACTATATTTTTTATTTTCTGTGTTTTTTTTTTAGTCAATGCATAACTATCCACTTGGAGATAACCAACACCTGCGAGTGTCATTCTCAAAGGCAAACATCTAAACCTCTTTCAACACCACCTCTTTTATTCTTACCTGTGAATGCAGTTTGATGGACCAATTTGATTGACAGCTGGAGTCAGCTGTGGACTAGTTTGACAAGTTTATCAACAAGTTCTCCTGTGTTCTTTTCAAAATTGTGGCAGGAAAAAATATGCTATCAGAATTTTCAAGTTCTTAAATCTTGTTTTCAATTTAACCTACATATCAAGCATATACTAAGATTTTTCCATTCATTTTTTTATGTTTAGGATGGTCAGATTTATGTTTCATTCCAATTATTCAGATTATATTGTATATCGATATAATATAAATACATATATATAATATCTATATATCTATATATATAGATAGATATAAAGATATATATATATATATATATATTTATATATAATTATTATACACTTTACATATTTTATATTGAAAAAAGGTTGTTAATTCTTTGTTAGACAAAGCTTGCTTGAAGTTGACTTTCTGTCTGCAAGCTTCAATTTTGATGGCAGTGTTCTCCCGAAGCCGTTTTACACATCAATTTTACTGGTAAATATAACCAGCCAACCAGTAAAAATTTTATGTCTGTAAAATAAAACACTGATTAGGACTAGGCACTCTTGGCTGGCCTTTCAATAAATGAACATCATTCCATTCTATGCCTAGGCTAGGCTGTATGTGATGTTTTTTCCAAGTCATTAAATCCCACTCAAAAAAGGTAACCCCTCACAGTGTGTGCATATCTGTATAGTTTTTATGGACAAATTTACCAGTGAAAATGTTTCAATTGGGAGAACACTGCATGGCAACGATGAAGTACACTGCTTTATGTGAAATTCAAAGAATTAACTTTACTCAATATATTGGTAGAGGAACCGTTAAGCTATTATAGCTCCTTTGTAGACCAGATTTACTAAAAAATATTATGTATGTTTATCCATTTATCTATCTGGAACTTGGAGTTTGTTCTTGTTCTTAAATTAGATTTTATTTTTTTTATTAAATGGGTACAGGATTTGCATATACTTTTCAGACTTGTTTAGTTTGTTTGTTATGGCAGTTAGTGTGTTCCACATGTTCGTTTCTTTGTCCGTCTATGTGGTAATACTTTAGGGTAATTTCTCTAGTTCTGTATATCCTTACAAATTGTGTGTTTTTTTCCCCTTTATTTGTGGGATTTATTTTTCATTATAAGAAGGTATATGTATTTTATTGAGGCTTGAATATATATTTTGGTACTAGTTGTTTTACAATGCACTAGTTGTCCAGTGCAGTTGATGATAGTAAATCTGGATTTTCAATACGATTTACAAGGGAATCTCTTCAGAAGGGCTGACAATTTCCCAATTGCATGGTGCCTTACTCTTCTACTGTGTGTTACAAATTTATGTAGTTTCGTCAATTAAATAAAATAACTGGGTAATTACATACCGGTAATTTTCCTTAAATAGTCAGGTCTTTGATTCAGTGATTAATTGATTGTTGATCTTTTCTCATCTATATAAGTGATCAATATATATATATTACTTGCTTTCTTGTTGCAAAATGTTATACATAATGTTATATTTATTAACCAGAACGTACAAGTATTTTCACTTACTTGCATGGTTTCTCCTAGAATTTTAGATTTAGTTTGACAGATTTTGTGCTAGTGGATTGAATCGGATTTGCATGCCTTATGGACGTGAGATTGGAACGCAAGAAAAGGTCTTTGAAATATAAGAATAGCATGTCTATAGCCAGAATGTCTCTTCAATGCTACTACATTTAGTTCAAATACATTAATAGTATGATGTGAAATACTTAAGTAAAACCCCTTCTTCAAAGGCCAGGTATACTGTCACTATTAGCAATGAGGAACACTGTTACCACATGTTGCAGTTGTCCATCATTTATTAAAAGGATAATAGATACGTAGGAGTGCAATTTGAAGTGGTCATTAATTTTAGTTAGCCTGATATAATATATAAGATAGAATTTATATTATATTCTAAAATCAATAAAAAATTTTCAATTTCCTTTATTTTTGGATTCTTTTTATAGAAACAGACAAACTAGATTCTTGAGTTATATCGCCTTCTATATTTTGTAACATTGACGTACCTGGCCTTTGACATGGGATGTTGTGTAACTGTTGTTTTATTTACTTCTCTTTATATCGGTTGTTTAACTGGCAGCATATTTTGAACACTATAGGTTAAAATGGTGCTACCCAGAAGCTGTGAAAAAAAATTTCATTTTATTCGTAAATACATTTAAAGCTCGAAACCTTCATCTCTGAACTTCAATGTTTGTATATGAAATGTTTTATATCTGCTGCAATGGTGTTAATAACACCTACAGGCAATGGATATTCATTGAAGTAGCTTTGAAGTGTGTCATAGTCTTACAAAAACCATAGAGCCATCGCATGGATCAAATCCATGACACATCCATGGATCAAATCCATCAACAAAGAGTTATTTCTGCACTTTTTTTTCCAAGTGAGAAATGTGTACTGAAAAGCGACAATATTTGAGGTCGCACGGAAGCCAGCTTCTTTGTAAGGATCATTTTGGAATCCTTTTGTACTGTATAGTGTGGCTTTGTACATTTTATATATCACATTGGAAAACCTTGATGTTTATTTATTGTGTATTAGGTAAAGACATGAGTTTATTCAATTCTTAGTTGATCAGTGATTTGTATAAATTCTGAAATTGTGGTATTTTTCATGAATTAATTGCAAAGCTACACCATGAAACAAACCCTGTAGAAAACCAGTGTGAATTACAATAATTGAAGAACATTAAAAAGTTTGTAAAATAGAATAAAATAAGTTTATTTGTGTTTGCCTTTTTCTTGTTATTCATTAAGCATGTATATTTATGATCACTTCAGTTCTTATTCTGCATTTGGAGCATCATTTCACCTCACAGGCCTACCTGTAGTCTGTTTCACTCCTGGTACAGTACATTGTAATAGCCATCTTGAAGAAAGACACTTGGCAGTGATTGACATTTTTAGGATGCTGATTTCAAACTAGTGTTGATGTGTAAATGGTCACAAAATTATCACCATTTTAAAAAATAAATTTTATTTTGCTGAGACTGAATGAGACACCAATGGGCTATGGCCATGCCTGCATGAAAAATACTACGATATGGATATCAATCAATCAATAAAACAAATAGACATATATTTTTTTCAAATCAAAATCAAACAATCAAAAAAATAAAATCAAGATGTAAAAATTAAAAGTCCGGAAAGATCATAAAAAGGCAAGAAACACTGAAATACTGAAAACAGATTTAAATAAATGGAAGAGGGCAGCGCTCAAAAAGGAACGCTAAGTGAAAACAAAGTAATTCTCACATGGCAATTGCCCTGAGTGATATCAAAACTATCATCGTCATTATCATTACTCTCATCATAATCATCTTCATCAACCAGCCTGTCATCCTCATACCACTTCAACATCACTATTATCAAAGTTATATTTTATATGTATTAATCCTTAGATGGGCACTGCTACTACAAGTGTTATTATATTTTATATATTAATTCTTTGATGGGCACCGCTACTGCATTAGTGGCACCACTACTGCAGGTGTTGTTATATTTTATATGTTGACCTTAGATGGTCACCACTACTGCAGTTATGGGCACTGCTGCTGCAGGTGTTGTTATATTTCATATCCTTAGATGGGCACCGCTATTGCATTATAGTGGGCACCGCTGCTGCAGGTGTTATTATATTTTATATATTAATCCTTAAATTTATTTATTTATTATTTATTTATTCTTTATACTGTAGGCACTTTCAGTATTACATTGATTTTCAAAGTGGTACAGTTTAAACATAACAAAAATATATACAATATAAAGAATTGTTTAATACAAAAAATAAAAAGAACATAGGCACCGCTACTGCAGTATCGGCGCCACTACTGCAGGTGTTGTTATGAGCACCCTAAAATTACCGTAATATGGATATGAACAATATGAAATAAATTGAGACAGGGCCTAATGTGTAATAATTGGTTCATAGCCAAAGCGTTAATGTACTACTTACAAGGTACAGTACATACAAAGAATACTAGGCCTATGCTAGGCCTATATAATTTCACTTTGTTACTTTACACAAGCAGAAAAAAAAAGTTTGTGTGTAGACAGCTGAAGTGTGTGCTCACTGGACCTTGTCAAAGAGTATGACCTTGTCGACAATGTTTTTTTTTTTTTTTTTTTTATGTATTTAGTTTTCTTTGTCCAGTGTTAATTCATTAGGTTTTAATTTTATTTTTTAATTTTGCTCTTTCTGAACTAATTATATTTTCATTACTTGTTTTCTTTTTTAATTTTCATTATTTTCCTTGTATTTTTGTGGTTTTAAGTTACAATCTTATATATTGTTTGAACGCACATTTTATATGTCGTGTGCCGCTGTTATAAAAGCGTTGTTCAATAAAGTTGTTCAATAAAGTTCAGTTCAATCGCTAGGTTAAATGAATATTCAATATATTGCTACCTCATTATTCATGAACCTGCGGTAGTTAGGCCCATGCTCTTGTTTCTTCCGCTAGCGCCCTCTATACTTATTCAACATGACCATGAGAGAGGGATCGTAGACGAGGATTCAAGACTAGGCTAGGCTATATTGAGGTTTGTTTATCTTGTTTTTTTTTTTTATATTTTAACAATATATAATGTATTCTGTTGTTAGATGTCATAAAGGATGAGTAGAAAATAAGTATTACTCAAGAGAGGTACAGCTATAACAATTGATTTAGTAATAGGCCTAGTCTAGTTCAGTAGGAACCTACGTAAGACCAGGCTAGGGTTAAGTAGGCCTAGGCTAGGCGGCCTAGGATAGGGACTAGGCCCGCCGTAGACTATAATTGCAGGGGAGGTCCTGCTAGGTTTAGGTACAATCCATGCAAATGGTGTAGGCGTAGTACAATGCTAGGCTAAGAAGGCTTTAGGGCTAACCTCTCTAGTAGGTGGGGAATAGGCCTAGGGCCATACATACATATTGTGCGCAGTTTTGTTACTTTTGCACATTTTGAGTTGCTGTGTTGTCTCCAACAAGCTGTGTAAGGTTTCTTTCAGCAATTATCATAAAAATGTGACATTTAAAATTTATTAAATGATATTGGTATTAAATTATTATTAGATTATGATTCAACATGTATTTGCTGGGAGAGATTTGCAGCAGTTTTCCGATGTTTTATGCAATCGATACCTACAGTACTGTAAAAATAAGAATACAAAATTCTGTACAAATAAATTATTAATTAATTATAAACATTATTAAATTAAATTGGTAATTTAACAAAAGGTATTGCATAGAAAATACATTACAAAAATAGTACTGGCAGAACACAAGATATAAAAACATTGAAAAATACTATACAACAAATTATTAATTAATTATTATTTAAGCCAATACCAAATAAAATTGCTACACACTATCACCAATAACTTTCAGTGACGCTGATTGGTTGAACTTCAAGTTGTATGAGGAGTAGCATCATAGTGCAGCAACAATTGCAGTGAAAACGCTGTTAGTGACAGTTTAGCAATTTTTTGGGGAAACCAGACTTAACTACTAGCCCTCCATTCAAAAAGAGACTTAGTATCTGAATTCCTCACAATTAATTCCCTATTACAGTACTATTAAATAATTGTTCATTTTAGTTTTCAGGTTCCAAATCAAGCACATGGGAGCAGGAGAGTCTGTACAAACTCCTCCAGTTGTAGGTGTGACCCAACATGCACCTATACACACGAGTCCACCTGCAGGATGTCCAATGCACAATGAGAAACAACAAGGCTCTTTACAAGGGAGCACCCCACCTTCAGGTTGCCCAATGGATCAGTCTAGCCAAGCATCGTATGTTAGTGAATGCCCAATGAGCCGGTCAAAGACCATGGTGTCTCAACAGGATGATGATATCGATCTAAGGAACAGGGTAAGCTTAAATTAGGTTAAATATAAATTTATAAATTTTTTTAATATAAATTTATAAATTTTTTAAAAGTCCATCATTATCTTCATCATCACTTCATTGTCATCATCACCTCTCCATTTTCAGGAGACTCTAGCAACTTGTATCTTAATAGACTTTTTCTCTTCAAGATGCCTCCTCCAAATCAAAGGCCAGCCCCAGACCAACCCTTTCCACTGGATACAAACCGGCAACATTCTACAATACCAAAAGCTGGCACAGATGGTGAGACTTGGGTGTACCCATCACAGCAAATGTTCTGGAATGCAATGCTAAGGAAGGGATGGAGGTGGAAGGAGGAGGATATCTTACAAGAAGACATGGCACGGATTATCCAGATCCATAACTACAATAACGAGCAAGCCTGGCAGGAAGTCTTGAAGTGGGAAGCTCTCCATCTCAAGTAGGATTATACAAATTATTCCAACATTCATTAAAAGAAAATATAATTTTTCATTCCTGTCCTCTTTATAATAATATGATGATAATGCATTATTTTAAATATTATAAACCAGGTCATTTATTGGCATGAATTTTATTTTTACACTTTTCTCTATGACTTTGTTATAGGCAAATTCAGAGGTCATAGATTACATCCGCTAAGCTTTCACCAGCTGATTAATGTGTATATTTTAAACAGTCAAACCTCTGAGGAAGACAAGACATCTTGTTTTGCAAAATCGTCACATTCTTTATAATTTTTTCATCTACTGTAGGTGCATAATGCCTATGCACTCTATTGCGGCAGTCCACAGGGCCCCCAAGCCACAGAGCTCTAAATTGTCTCTGGTGAAACCATAGGGCCACTAAAGGAACCTGACCCATAGAGCCCCAACCCATAGAGATCCTGAATATTGGTATCTAAACCGACAGTAACCAATTGAATCTAAGCCAGTTCAATATTTTTGGAACTTCTTAAAAAGACAATGATATTTCTCTTGAAAACTTCCAGCTGCTGATTCCTTTGTAATAAATCTTTGTATGTCTATTGTATTTGCTAACAAACAATGTCTCTGAAATAGATGTAGGACCTTAAAAAATCTCTCCTGGGAGTTTACTACCACCAGAACGGTGATGCTTCAGCAGCGACAGTGGCTGCAAGGGCTAAGGCCCCAATCCTATAAAGCCACAGGGGCCCCGGTATTACGCTGGTGTCTTCATTTCTAGCGGTAGGAATTGTGCTCCCCTTGATAGCGATAGGTGGCAGGTTTGGGCCCCGCCAGAGACACTTTTCATACAACTAAAAAGAAACATTTCAGTAAAAATCTATGCTTAATAAGATTATAGCATCATATTTTCCTATATCTATTTGTTTTACATTGATTCCTTTTATAAAAACTGTTTTGCTTTCGCAGGGAGTGTGGTAATCCTAAGTTATTTAAATTTGGTGGCAAATACAATGAGCTTTCCCCAAGGGCCAGGATACGTATGTGGATGGGGTAAGGTCATATTTACTATTTAATTGCTTTTTGTTTGGATGGATGGATTGATTTTAATTCTTGTAAACACACCAAGGATAACACACGGAAGTCTGAAGAAGACTTATTTACAGTGGGGTCCCTCTGGTGGTGATTGGCAGTACACCGTGAGACAATCCCCTATCTTTCCCGAACAGCGTACTGCGTTCTTTAACGTGCACACAGGTCATAATGCACATGGGACCAACGGCTTAAACGGTGCACTATCGTAACTTGCATTTCAGCCCTCCAGCTAAAACACAAGGAGAGGCAGTGATGGGAATTGAACCGAGGACCTAGAAATCTCCACGGTTCAGTGCACACACGGTGGCTACCACCAGTTTAGCCGACTGAGCTAAGCTGCTCTCAAGCTGTTAGTGTAATGAAATATTTTGATATTGTTGCAACTATTGTAATAAAACAATTATGCTTTTGGTACTTTGTGTGAAAAATGTGCTTTTAGATATGAAACCACTGGTTGATTGTCTCAATGTTGATATACCTGCAAGTTTTGTATTGCTTTATGTAAAGGCCTTTATGTTTTTCATTATTCATTTGATTGCATCAAATCATTTTTACATCATCATACACAGAAAAAATGAAAACAGAAAACAAATTATAAAAAGAGATGCAAAATGACAAGAACCACAGACTAAACAAAGGGAAGAGACTGAAAATTTAAATATATAATTTTATACAAAAATCAGACAGGTATAATTAATGTATAGGAACAAATTGCAATATATAGTTAGATTAATGGAATAAATAATTCTCTTTAAAGAAAATAAGCATGTTAAATAAATATGGTTTTCATTTTAACACCAAAAACATTATTGAAGGCATACCTTATGCTTAAGTTGTGATCTGCAGTATTGATAATGCAATAAAATTATTATTATATAACTTTTTTCAAAAACTGAAATTACAGTACTCTCAATTTCTGGTAGTCTTGTATCATGATAAAATATAAATTAAAAATTGTTTCTTATAATTAACGTAAATAACAATTATTCTCTTTTAAAAATAGCTTTAAAATGAGACTAACCTTTCTTTACTTACACATTAAGGAATATTTTTTACCATTTGTGTCAATGTTTTTTAAGCTATCAAGGTCAGCTGTGATGCCACAATCAGAAAAATAATGATAATTATATTGATAATGAAATTAGTAACAATAATAATAATATTATATCAGACAGCTGAATCTTCAGAAATATAGTAAATAATTGCTTGAGCTGCCCTTTATATTTTGTTGGTATTGTATAGGTATTTCAATCAAATTTACAGGAATACAGTATAATAAACATGGCAGTATTTTGTATGATGAATGGCTGTTTATTTTATGTAGGTATGAGAGACCATTCGACAGGCATGACTGGATCATAGATAGATGTGGCAAAAAGGTCCGATATGTCATAGATTACTATGACAGTGGCAACGTGGACCCTAATACTGGAGAGTTCTCCCTTCTGGATGTCAGGCCAGCATTGGATTCCCCTGGTGCATTATGGGATAGAATGAAGGTAGCATGGTGGAGATGGTTTTACACTAATAAAGACGATTGAAGTACAGAAGTGACCTGCTGTTTTCAAGAGAGGGGGAATAATGCAAAAGATACTGAACATCAACAGTCTGCAGTATGGATTGTTTAGATATTGAAATACCAACAGATCCAATAAGTAATGTTTGGTACTATTCAATGAATTTAAAGAATTGAGGATGTATCTTTCAACATATTGGTTAGAAATGATAACTCAATTAACTTGCCATTTGTGCAGATTCTTAGCAAGTACTAAATGAATAATTAAATTTATGACTTATTGTAAGCAATTAAACACACCAAATACATTGTTTGGGAAATGTGGAAGGTGCTATTGGTAGTGTCTGTATATTAAATCATATATTAAGTTAAAAAACTTCCTTTTTAATTTAGTATTTTTATCTTTTATTCCATCAAGATATAAATGTTTTTCTCAACGTTTGATTAGTTGATAGTTTAAAAATTTTGAAAGTTATATTTATTCCAAATACAGTACAGTAATGTTAATTCTGTCAGTCTGTAGCATATTACATTCAGAACAAAATGCTTTTGCTTACAAAAGAATTTAAGCAACCATAGGTTGAATTATCCCAAGGTTTAGTTTCTATGCAAATCATTAAGTATAATATCTTGTCTTCCCATAATAAATACAGTGGCGTATCTAGGGGTCATGAAATGGGAGGGGGAGGGGAGGCAGCTCGCAATATATAGGTGATATGAGATGATTTTTAACTACTTGAGCATAATTTTTTTTCCCTTTGAAATTTCCAGTGGGGGACGACTAGGGGTGAAAGATTTTTTTCTGGTGGGGGTGGTGGGTCATGCACCCAGATGCACCTCCTAGATACATTACTGAATAAATAATATCTTGGATTTATACAGTGTCTAATGTCAAAGAACCTTTAAAAGCATCCTAGGTGCTGGTTCAATGATGGATATCAATAATTAATAGAACATTCTGACAGTTAAAGTGGTGGGGTGTTTAAGAATATAAATGGTGTTTCAATAAAATCAGTTGTATTGGAGTGCAGTACTTTATTCTATATTGTTCAACATTTGGATGAGTGTGTGTATATATATACAAGGTTCATACTACATTATCACTCAAGTGGAACACTAATTCATTTGATCCTAATTTAAAGCAAAATTATGACAGGAGAGAGAGAAAAAAGGACACCCAAACAAATAAAAATTTCACAGACAGTAAAAACAGCAAGCTGAATAAACAAGTTTTCGTAGTTTCAAAAGCTTTGATGAGGGCAGTATAATAAAGGCAGTAGAACTTATTGGCCCTAACGGCTGCCCATACAAAAAAAAAATCTATTAAAGATCAGTAGAGTACATTAGCCTTAACGGCCGCCCATACAAAAAAAAAATCTTATTCATAGAGGCAGTAGAGTACATTGGCCTTAGCCGAGTATTTCTGGAGCTACTAGAGATAGGTCCCTGCATTCAACAATTATGTGGATATTCATTGTACTGTTATTTACTATCAACTATTGCCCCGGCGTCACTAATTTTTTAATTGATTTAATATGCTGAATCATTACTGTATTAATGGTATATAGTACCTATTATATATTTCTATAAATTAATCAACAGATGTCTCATTAATCACACTATCGTAAATAGGCCTATTGAAGTATAAAGTATTATTAATTCTTTATAAAAGCATTATCGTAAAATTATTATTATTATCATTATTATTATTATTATATAATTATTATTATTGTTATTATTATTATTATTATTGTTTTATGTATAGGCCCTACATGAATAGGCCTATATCATGCCAGGGAGTTGTTATGATGCCTAGGCCTAATATATATTTAATAATTTAATTAGAAGTAATTATAATTATTAATTGTAAAACATAGGCCTATATAATATAATGTTAACAATAATATTATAGGCTAGGCTAGATCTAATCAATTATTGATACCTTAACGTCATCTATCGATAAAAACATCGATTCGATTAATAACAGCAGCATTTCGCACTGTGGCAGTGCCAATAGAAAACAACTTTTTCGCACTGCGGCAGTGCCGCTAGAAAACAGCAGCTTTTTGGCAGTGCCGATAGAAAACAGCAGCTTTTTTCGCACATCGGCAGTGCCGATAGCCACTACCATTCACACTCAGGGTTGCCATTTGGCCTTTTTGACGGCCAGATTCCTCAAATCTCAGGCCGTATAAAAATTTGCCTGGCCGTAGCGTTTGAAAAGTCGCGGCCAAACTATATTTGGTCGAATTATTGAAAAGTTTACATTTTTTCTTCAATATAGGCCTAATATAACGTAGACTTTTTTGGATATGTTGTTTTTGTTAGCTTAAATTCTATATTTGATTCTAATTATGTAGGGCCTACCTTTGTTTGTACTTGCCCTAAACACTTAATCTAGGCCTATGTTACACGGACCCCTTTATTTAAGTTTTTATTTAAGAGTTTATTTAAAAGATAACAGTTACATGATTTAATCATTTAAATTGTTCAGATGAAATATATATATATATATATATATATATATATATATATATATATTATATGAAGT